TTTTTTTTTTTTTTTTTTTTTTTTTTTTTTTTTTTTTTTCTAATGATGGGGAAAATAGACTTTGTCTTGTGAATCCAAGATTACAAAAGTTGTATGAGTAAGTGTGGCTTTGTAGGTAATGTTCATAATACAATTATGCTTCTGCAGGGGAAAAAGGTAGGATGTGGGTTCAATATCTACAAGTCAACGTGACAACTTTTTATAGGAATTTTAAATGGTTGTGAGGTCAAATAATGAGGGTTTTAGAAAAAAAAAAAAAAAAAAAGCTACAGAACAAGCCTTGATTTTTATTACGAGAGAAACGTTCTTGCAAAAAACACCATAACAACACATTTTTAGAAATTTCAAATGTATAAGATAATGAAATAAAAAAATATTAAAAGTTAAGCCATATAAATGCCATACACATGCCCCTTTAAGTTTGTACGGCAGCCAATTAATTAAGGAGATAATTACACCCAAAAGGAAAAATTTTATACATTGAGTTGAAATTTAGTAAACTTTTAGAATATTATAAAAATAGTAAAAATGATATTGTAATTATTATAATAATTCGCCTTTTCAACTATATAATGATGTAGTCATTAAGGATTTCAAATTTTGCCTATTTATGTCAAATTTTAAAAACTTTGTCAAGTCAATGGGCTTATCCTCTCAGTAACAACGGAAATAGTAAGAAATAACTCAATATAAAAAGTTTAAGAAAGTATATAAGCTAATTTTTAATTATAGAAATTAATAGGTCATAACTTGTTAAGTTATGGTTCGTAATCAGATAAGTTATGAACAAACTTGTCAAGTTATGGTTCATAACCAGATAAGTTATGGACAATAACTTGTCAAGTTATGGTTCATAACCAGATAAGTTATTGACGAAAACAGTAATTTAACCTATTTATTAACTTATGTAAACTATTAATCTATTAATTTTAATTCATCTCAAGTCTTAATCTATTTTCTTCTTTCTCCCTAGTAACAAATGGGCTTGGGCTATCTTCTTTACCTGGGCTTAATTCATTGTACAAGCACATAATGCACTTGTTCTAGGGGTGTACATAGCCGACGACAAACGGTGTTTGTCACCATTTTAACGAAACACTCGTTTCGTTTGACTGATCAACTTCAACTGAGTCGAGTTACTGCCCACGAGTTCACCGGGAAAGAG